AGTAACAAATCTAATGGAAGGTTTACATGTTGTTTTAGGGTAATGATGAGGGTTTTAGCTAAATCCTTAAAAATAGTGATATAAACTTAATTTTTGCAAGTAATAGTTTTATATGAACTATATGCTACCTATTTGAATGTTTATGAGTGATATATTACAACAATATTGATCTAAATCGTTTATAATTAAAGTTTTGTTTTGTGACTAATCAATGTCTGTCACAAAAGAGTCACTATGTGCGACTCTTTTGTGATGTTTTTGCGACGCCTATCTTCTGCCATTTTTGCGACTATTTTCAGACTTATTTCCGACTAACTAATGAAAGTTTTCTCATTTGCAGCGACTGTGACTGCGAAAGCAAAAGACCACGGTGATGGCAGCGAAAGACAGAAAAAAAACGACAGTGACGAATTGATGGAGGTGTTGCAGGAGAAAGAAACGAATATGGGTTTACGTAAAACGGATCGTCGTTGGAATTTCGAGCAAGAGTTGGAGTGACTCTTTTAACGACAACGGTAACAGTTTTTAAGATGATCGGGCACTATTTTTAATGCTTAGAACATCAGCACAATTTATTTTTAATGCTACGACCACGTAACGAACAGACCGGTGGTAGCAAACTTGAAGCAAAGTAGTCGCAAAAGAGTTACAGACTGTATTGTGACGAATTAGCCACTCTCGTATTTAGTTAATTCGAAATTAGAGTAATGAGATATGTTAAAATGGTTAGTTATTCGTTTATACATTGATTTCATTGACATCAGCTCTAAAACTAAGTAAGTGTGGCATAGTGAGTGTTTTTCTAACCGAGCTTTCATTAGTAACAAATCTAATGAAAGGGTTACATGATGTTTTAGGGTAATGATGAGGGTTTAAGCAAAATCCTATAAAAAAGTGATATAAACTTAATTTTTGCAAGTAGAAATAATATATGTACTCTATGCAACCTATTTGATTGTTTATGAGTGATATATTACAACACAATTGCTCCAAATCGTGTATAATTCAAGTTTTGTTTTGTGACTAATAAAGGTTTGTCACAACAAAGTCACATTTTGCGACTCTGTTGTCACTTATATGCGACGACTATATGAAGTTGCAAACCCGTCGCTCTTTTGTGAATTATTTGCGACTACTTTTGTCGACTATTAAAAGCGTCACAAATTAGTCTCTCATAGCGACCCTTTCCCGACTACTTTTGTTTAGTCGCATAATAGTTGCCAAACAGAAGCAAATATGAGACGTTTTTGAGACTATAAATATTCGTCGTTACTTACCGACGGTTTTCCATCCGGATGTGCTAGAGTTGCTTATTTGTCGTAAAATGGTCACTATAGAGACGCTCTTTTTTGCGACCGAAAAAAGAGTCACAACAGGTAGTCCCAAAACGCAGGTTTTCTTGTAGTGAGTGGACCAAAGTTCTGTTGGTATGAATTATCAAAACCAACAGACTAGAGATGATGAGGCTAACGCCATTGTTGCATACGAAGAGAAAGATAAAGGAAAGGGTGTCGAGGGCGATTCTGAAACTTTAGGACGTGAAGAAGGTGATGAGTATGTTGAACAACCACCTGTTGTAACACCTTCTCAGTTTATAGACCCATGGGAAGACGGTTTAACTTTGAGGAAGTTTGACGAATTCCCAAACAAGAAGGCATTGCAAGAAGTGGTGGATAGAGCTTCGTTTGCTAACTGTTTTAGGTTTAAAATTGCGAAGTCGGATAAGGATCGTTATGTGTTGAAATGTTCTAAAGAAGGATGTAGTTGGGGTTTACGAGCTACAAGAGTTCCACATACTGAGATTTTCTCGATCCGCCGGCACAACAATATGCATAGTTGCTCTCGGGCGAGTAAAAGTTCAAGCAACAGTAACAGGCGCGGCACCCCGGAATTAGTTGCATCCCTTTTGCATAATGATTATCCAGGACAGATGGAAACTCCACGTCCCAAGATTATCATGGAACTTGTGAAGACCAAATTGGGTTTGAGTGTATCATACTCGACGGCATTGAGAGGGAAAGTTAAAGCCGTTAGTGATTTGCGTGGTACCGCGGAAGAAAGCTACAAAATGCTCCCTTGTTATTTGCACATGTTAGAGAAGGTTAATCAAGGTACGAGAACATATCTGCATTTGGATGAGAATAAGAAATTCATGTACTTGTTCATAGCTTTGGGAGTTAGCATCGAAGGGTTTCAAGTCATGAGAAAGGTTATAAGTATAGATGCAACATTTCTAAAGAACGGATATGGTGGTGTTCTTGTTTTTGCCTCGGCTAAAGATCCTAACCGGCATCATTATCCGTTAGCGTTTGGTGTTCTTGACGGTGAGAATGATGCGAGTTGGAATTGGTTTATGGAGATGTTGAAAACCGTTATTGGAGACTCCTCTGAAATAGTCTTTATGACTGACAGAAATGCAAGTCTCATCAAAGCCATAGCTAATGTGTATCCACAAGCTCATCATGGGTTTTGTATATACCATTTGTCCCAAAATGTTAAAGGTCATGCTTCGAACTATAACAGAGATGTTGTTGCATGGAGATTCATGGAGGTAAGCAGGTTATACACAGTGGTTGAGTTCGAAGTGGAATACAATTCGTTCAAGATAAGGTATCCAAATGCTGCCAAGTATCTCGAAGATTCTACGAAGGTTGAAAAATGGGCAAGGTGTGTATTTACAGGAGAAAGGTACAACCTAGACACTAGCAACGGTGTGGAATCATTGAACAGCGTATTCAAAGACGTTAGGAGATACTCCTTAATTCCCATACTTGATGCGATTATCGCTAAATTCTCTGAATGGTTTAATGAACATCGGAAAGAGGCCGTGTCTGGTTCGGTTGCAAATAAATTGGTGCCTTTTGTGGAGAATTACTTGCACGATTTATGGGGGGTTGCTGAGAAACTAAAAGTGACTGAGCTAAACTCTTTTGAGCTGCAATACAATGTCATTGACAACGACGGGAAGCCTTATTTGGTGAATTTGGTTATGAGGAGTTGTGGTTGCAGGTTCTTTGATATTCAAAAGTACCCTTGTGTACATGCATTGGCCGCTTTCATAGAGTACCTAAAGACTAAAGATAGAACTAGAGATATCCAAATGCATGAGTTGTGTTCTAGGTACTATTGGACCGAGTTGTGGGCGATGGCGTATTACCAGACAATTTTCCTAGTACCGGATAAGTCTCAGTGGAACGTCCCGGCTTGGGTGAAAGATGTTCAGATCATTCCGCCAAAATGCAAAACAAAGGGTGGAAGGAAGAGAACTAAAAGGTTTGCGTCTACTGGAGAAAAGCGACCACCAAAGAGAAAAAGAACACAAAATAAAAGGCGGCGGAGACAAGGACTACAATGGTTGTTATTCGGAGTTTCTAGTAATGTTTGATTCATG